AAAAAAAAAATATATATATATATATATATATATAGTCACATAAAATATTATAATCCTGTTTATGTAAAAAGAGGTGTGTATTTTATATATTTATTAAAATATATGTAAAACAATACAATTGTTACATACATATGTGTGGAAAACTTAGGTTTCTCTGAGTTTTGACTTAATACTTTTTAAATTGTTTGGAAATATTTTGCCTCAAGCATGTATTACTTCTGTTTTTGTTTTTTGTTGTTGTGTGTTTTTTGAGACAGAGTCTCACTCAGTTTCCCTTGGTGGACTGCCATGGCATCATAGCTCACAGCAACCTCAAACACTTTGGGCTCAGGAGATCCTCTTGCCTCAGCCTCCCAGGTAATTGGGACTACAGGTGCCGACCACAATGCCTGGATATATTTTTAGAGACGGAGGGGGTCTTGCTCTTGCTCAGGCTGGTTTTGAACTCGTGAGCTCAAGCTATCCACTTGCCTAGCTTGGCCTAGCATGTATTACTTTGGACTAAAAACAATGTGTTTATTTGGAGGAAAAAACCCAATGATTAGCTCATTGACCAGGGTGGTCTGGGGTGGCAGGGAAGAGGGGCCTACACTCTGGGTGTGCCCGTTTTATGGAAAACCCTAGGAAGAAGCACAAGAATGAGCCCCTCTGGAGCCCATGCTCTAACGAGCTGTGACAGACTTCCTGCTCCATCCCTGGATGCACCTCTGCTCCTAGAGGGTATGTGGACTCCTCTGTGAGGACTGAGGAGAAAGTGCCCATCAAGCCCCCTGCCCCATGGTGCTGGCCACCACCAAGCCCAGAAAGCATAGCATTTCTGCTCCCTAGCCCTCCGTCCAGTACCTAGGAGCTGATGGGGCAAGGAATCTGCTCATCTGTCCTCATCATACAGAGCTTAGAAAGCTCAAATGATGTGCCCCAGTCACAAGTTCATGGTTGTCTGGGACTACATTTCAGAGCTCCTAACTCCATTGCTTGGACTCCAGACTCAGGACCTCTTTCAGCCTTGGCTCCAGGTCAGGGCCTAGGTAGTAGCCACTCTCTCCAGCACTTCCCAGCATCCACTCTGAAGGGTGGAGGTGGGGACAATGGTGAATCCGGTTCTGTCCCCAGAACCTTACAATCTGGTGGAGAAAGACCCCTCATGACTCTGATGCTTGAGGGACAAGGCTCTGGCCCCCTCATCCTGTGGTCACGCTTTCCTGCAACGACTCTATCTGAGCAGCTCACAGGTGCAGGCATTTAATATCACCTGGGTTTATTCTCATAAGAGAAGCCTGTGGTGTCTCCATTTGACTGATAAGGAGACTGAGCTGAGAGAAACTTCTTTTATTTCCTCTACCATCAGGACACACTTTGGGTCTTGGGTCTTTACTCACTCCCAGTCCCCCAACCTGTGTGTTTGCCCCAAGCTGACCCACATTCCAGCCTTTCATCACCACCAGCCCTCAGGCCTAGACCTCTCAATGTGTGACTCCAGCTCACTCCAGGCTGGCCAGAGTTGAGTCTCAGAATGTGTGCAGGTATCCTGTGCCCAGACTACTGCAGAGTAGAGGACACAGCTAATCGTCCCCACCCACCCTGACCGAGCAGCACTGCAGCATTTGCAACATGTTCTCAGAGATGTACCGTCATTTGAATCCTTGCACACATGCTTCTGATGGTGGGATAATTCCCCTTGTATGGAAGAAGAAACTGAGGCCTAAAAAGGCCCAGTGACTTTCTCTGCATCTCCCAGCCACAAAGTAACAGACTAGGTCTGGGACTCTGCCCTTGTTCCACTAGGCTCCACTTACTGGCCAGACCCAGCCAGCGTGGGGAAGGGAAGGGCCCTGGAGAGCTCAGGTAAGACTTGAGCAATTCACTGTCAGAGGTCAACTCCAGAGGTCAGGGAACTGGCCTGTCAGTTGAATTGACTCCTCCAGTTCCCTGACCTCTGGAATGGGGATAAACCACCCAGCAGTGCTATTAACAGGGCTGGGTGGCAACTAATGGAGCAGCTGGAAGAGAAGGCGAAGCCGCCGAGCATTCCCAGTCAGCTCCCACTATGCCTGCACACGGTAGGCACTCAACAAGGGCTTAGTTGATCTCATGTCTCTTGATCTACCACTTACAGTCCTTACCACTCCTGACCCAGGTGCCATAAAGAGTTAGGCAAGGATGGATTAAGGAACACAAGAGGATTACTTAGTAATCAGCTGAACCACTTAAGCTGCCTGGGAAAAGACTAGGATGACTATTCATTAATTTATTCAATAAATGATGTCAAACACTTATCTGGCCTGGAATGATGATAATGATGATGTCGACGATGATGATGGTGTTGGCAGAACTCAGTTATCGAGAATCTATTTGCCAGATACTTTAGAGAGAGTCTCATCACATCAACACTCTAAGTTGATAGATCTTAAATTTTTAAAAAATTCTTCTATACTAGGGAAGGTGCTGGTCAGGTCTGAGACTCAGGTGAAGCAACTGAGATACTGAGAGCATAGGTGTAAGGAGGTACTTGCTGTTAGGACTGACTCTATAACTCCTGTCTCACCCTGGTCCCTGCCCCAGGGCTTGTGGTGGACACTGCAATATGGTGCCCCAAGTCCCCTTCCATGAAGCTATCGCCCCAGCTGCTGAGAGTGCTGCTGGCAGACTGCCTTCCCCTGGCAGCTCCTCCAGGCCTTTTGGGCTCAGCTGGGGACAGGCCATGCTCATGCCACTTCCCTGGACAGCTCACAGCCAATGACTGACGAGGGTAGGAATGGAAATTCTAAATGCAGAGGTCCCTGTAAGGCTGGCTGAGGGTCTAGTGGGGCTGCTCTGTGGCTTTTTAACTCACTTCTGCTTCTGTCCCCTCCCTTTTGCAGGGGCTGATTCTGAAGGCGCTCCCTAAAAAATCTCTGACGAGCTGAATGCCATCCCAGAGGCTGCTCCTGGGGAAGCAATAGTGAGCTGTAACAGTGTCACTGTTGGGGTAACCCCTTTCTAGCTGGTTAAAACACTGCCTACCTAAAGACTCTGATACAAAGGTACCCCCAAAAGTCAGGGCTCAGGGATCATAGCACTAACTGCAAACACTTCACCTGGATTAACTTATTGAATCTTCACAGCACCTCTAGAAGGGTGATACTATTAGCATCCACATTTTACAGATGAATTCAAGAGAAGTTATACTTTTCTGGAAGGAAAAAAAAAATAAGCACAGGCTCAGCCCTGTAGTTCAAGTGGCTAAGGTGCCAGCCACATACACTGGAGCTGGCGGGTTCAAATCCAACCCGGGCCTGCCAGAGGACAATGACAACTACAACCAAAAAATAGCCAGGTGTTGTGGCGGACGCCTGTAGCCCCAGCTACATGAGAGGTGGGGCCGGAGAGTCACATGAGCCCAGGAGTTGGAGGTTGCTGTGAGCTGTGATGCCACAGCACTCTACCCGGGGCCACAGCTTGAGGCTCTGTCTCAAAAAAAAAAAAAAAAAGCACAGTTTGGAGATAAAATCCAGTCAACCAAAAGATAATTTAAAATAAAGAACTTAAGCCCAGGAAAATTTTCATATGACTAGAAAAAAAATGGAAGAATGTCTTGTCTGAGTCATAACTGAGTCCCCAAGCCTAAGGGAGACTGACTCTTGATCCTAAAGACCCAGGCCAGGTATGAAAGTGAGATCCACAGAAACAAAGGGACAAATGATTGCTTTAGAAGGGTAGTCCAGGAATTGGTGCAAGACCCTCTGTAGGAGTCACAGGAAGCTGGTGTGGTTCTCAACCTTCCTAATGCCTCCTAATGCCTCCTAATTCTGCGAACCTTTAATACAGTTCCTCATGTTGTGGTGACCCCCAACCATAAAATTATTTTCATTGCTACTTCATAATTGTAATTTTGCTGTTATAAATCGTATCTGATATGCAGGATGTACTTTCATTGTTACAAAGGGGTTGCAACCCACAGGTTGAGAACTGCTGCCTTAGGAGAATTGAGACTCAGAAGATGAAGTGACTTAGCTTGAGGCAGGTAGCTAATAAAAGATGCTTCTGGAACTGGTTCCTGAGGCTGCCCCACTACAAACCCATTGCTCTTTTTTTTTTTTTTTTTTTTTAGATGGATCCTCAAGCTATCCCCCTGGGTAGAGTGCCATGGCATCACAGCTCACAGCAACCTCTGGGCTCAAGCGAGTCTCCTGCCTCAGCCTCCCAAGTAGCTGGGACTACAGGCGCCCGCCACAACGCACGGCCATTTTTTTTTTTTTTTTGGTTGCAGCCATCATTGTTGTTTGGCAGGCCCGGGCTGGGGATTCGAACCCGCCACCTTAGGTGTATGTGGCTGGCGCCTTAGCCGCTTGAGCCACAGGTGCCGAGCCAAATAAATTGCTCTTTATACTGCCTCTACGTGTACTCTCTCCTCCCCTCCAGCTGGTAGGATCAGAATCCTCCAAAGAGGGGGCCAGGTATGGCGGCTCATGCCTATAATCTCAGCACTTTGGAAGGCCAAGGCAGGATGATTGCTTGAGGCCAAGAGTTTGAGATCAGCATGAGTAAAAGAGTGAGAAGCCTCCCCCCACACACACTCTCCCCTACCATCTTTACAAAAAAATTGTTATAATTAGCTGGGTGTGGTGGTGTGCACCTGTAGCAGTATTGGGAGACTGAGGCAGGAGAATCCCTTGACCCCAGGGAGCAAAGGATGCTGCAGTAATTGCACCACTGCAATCCAGCATTGGTGATGGAGTGAGACCCAGAATCTACAAATAAATAAATAAACAAATAAAATAGAATCCTCCAAAGAGGGTCAAGAGGGATCTGGGGATCCAGGTGGTGGGCTGCCCCAGCCTCATCTTCTCTGTCTACTGTCCTATTTGTCAGTCATCCCTTTTGGAATTGGAATTGGACTCCTCTGCTACCTTCTGCTCCCTTAACTCTGGAAAGAGGAGGGTGTTGGGTTTTCATTGTTATCCCTTCCATATGCAGTGCACATTAGAGTTTGTTCTTTTTTTGTTCTTATTGCCTTAAAAGTAGCATGACAGGAATATTAGCCCCATTTTACTGGTGGGGAAACTGAGGCCCAGAGAGAGGGGAATCAGGGCAGTGTCTAACTCAGGGACAAACCCTCCTATCTTATTCTGGCCCCTTGGTATCTGTCTATGACTGGGGTCCTGGGCAAAACTGGTGTCAAACACTGGCCTCTCAGCCTAGAGCTTGAACCAACCCCTTTCCCAAAGCCTCTCTTCTTTTTTCTCTTTATCTGGTCCCAGAAGGCCCCTGATCTTAGGGGAAACCTTTATTTATTTGTCAAGTATCTTCTGTCACCTGCTTCATGTCCATCCTGGTAGCTTTGGAGGTGGTGCCAACACGGTATGCCCTGACAGAACTCACAGGCTGGTGGAGAGTCACATCAACAAACAAGCTTGGCTGGAGCAAAGCCCAGACTCTGGGGGCTGAAGCCCTGTGTGTTCCTTTCCAGAGTCTCTGGGATCTACTCCTCCTAGAGAATGCCTCACTGCCCTTCTGAGAGCTGTCCACAACATCTCAGACCAGCCTCCTCCCTGCCCAGGGATCTTTCCAGAGTCAATAGCACAGGGTGGCCAGGAACTCATGCTGGTGATGAGAACTGAGACCAAATCCTGCCAGGCCTGGGCACACTCCACATCTCTCATCTGTAGAAGGAGAATTGTGCTTACTTCACAAAGTTGTAAAGGCATTTGCCCTTTCTCGTCCCTTCTAGACACTCTATGTCCTGCCCCTGTGCCTTCCATGTACTGATATGCCTCCCTACCTTTAATGAACTCTTAACTCCTAAAAACACATGCATCACTCAAGGCTCTGCTCACCACTTCAAGTGTCACTGCCTTCCAGAAGCCTAAACTGACTCCCTACTCCAACTGGCTAAAACTGCTTCCCCTTGGGATTTGTCTGTTTGGCCAGTCTACCTGTTTTCTAGACCTCACCACAATCCTCCTTTTACCAAGACTGGTTTATTTCCAGGCCTGTCATCCACCCACTCCCACCTGGACTGTGATTCCAGGTTGGCACAGAGCCTGGAATAAAATTAGTACCATTTTTATGTAGTTTCACCATAATCATCATTTACTGAGGGCTGCCTAGGTATCTAGCACTGTGCAAAAGGCCACACAACCACCTGAGGAAACTGAGACCTCCCTCGGAGGAAGCAGCCTCAGAAATATGAATGGGTGGGGTCTTGTACAAGGAGAAAATCACAGTGCAACTCCCTGTGCCACTCAGTTCTCCGACATAGAGCCAAGCTCCCCTCACCCTAGGAATGGGGAGTCCAGTGGTTACCTCACCACCCGGTGGCAGCCTCTGCCTTCCAGGTTATGACACAATTGCATAACTCCAATTCCCCAGATATTTTCGAAAGAAACCGTTGGTTTCCTGTCCCAGGCACAGCTGGGGACTGTGGCCCCCTTGTCAACCAGGGTCTTCGGCACCCTCAGGACTTGGGAGGCTAAATATAGTCTGGGCTTGGGGTGATAAGGAAATGAAAATGGCAAGACTGTAAAGTGACCCAGTTTTATTTTGGTTTTGGAGGCCAGATGGGGCACTGCTCCACAGGGTAGGGCTGGATGTACAATCTTCCCTTCCCTGAGGTGGGAGGCCAAGGCCCAGGCAGCAGGGGCTCAGTAGATGGGGTCTCCGGGTACCCAGTGCCGGTAGCGGGTGGCATGAGAGAAGGGGTTTTCAGGCAGAGGCCTGCAATGGCTCAGATTGGGAGGGGGTGGGGGAAAACACAGAATCCAAGAACCCGGAGTCCGAAAGCTGGGCCAGTCTCCTCCACTGTACAGCAGAGGCTCAGGTCACAGAAGTGAAGCCAAACTGTCATCCAGCAGGAGACAGGGCCTGGAGGGACACCAGGGTTACAGCTCGGTGCCTGGCTCCGCGTTCAAGCCCGCTGTCTCCACCCTCATGGAGGGTGGATGCCGGGCCCCTTCGCAGGGTGCAGAGTCCAGCAGGCAGTCCTTTCTTCCCTCGGGCGCGCCAAACGGGCCCCGCTGCGCTCAGCAGCTCACCGAGCCGGCGGGCGGCGCTGACCCCAAGTCTGAGAAGCAGTCGAACTCGCTCTGGCCCAGGAAGAGCTCGGGAAGCTCGCGCACGCGGTGCAGGCCGAGCTCGAGCTCCAGCGACGTCAGCGCCTCCTCGTCGATGAGTTCGGCGTCCATGCTGCCCAGGGATTGCGCAGGCTGCGGGGCGGCGGCGGCGGGCGACGTCTGCAGGCCCGGGGGGCCTCCTGGGGGTCCCGGGGCGCGGCCTGGGTACACTGTCGCCACGGGTTGCAGGTGCGCGCTGCCTGCGGCCGGCGGCGTTACCGCCGGAAAGGGCTGGAAGGAGGACGGCGGCCCAAAGGCCCCGTATGTCTGGGCCCCAGGTTGGGGCGGCGGCGGACCCAGCGATGTCCCCCGTGGCCGCAGCCCACTGTCCAGACCCGGGCTCGCGTACGGCGGCAGAGTCCGCAGCACATGAGGGCCGTGGGCGGGAGCGGCGGGAGGCGGCCTCTGCACCAGGCGATAGCCCTCGGCGAGCATCAGGTGGTCGGCCATGGCGGCGGGTCGGCTGCCAAAAGGGGCAGCAGGCGGATGGTCAGCGTGGGCTCCCCTGGGCCAGCTGCTACTCTGCGGCGGGAAACCTGGGCACCGTGCCGTCGCTGCAACTGAGCAGGGCAAAAGAAAACCAAATCCGGCTTGTGCCTCCGCCAAGCCCAGGACGTACCGAGCTCCGCGAAGAGACCGCGCACACGCACACAGCCTAAAGCTCCAAGACCTCCGCGCCGCTACCCAGCGTTTGGCGAAGTCTTATACCCAGAAGCGGGCTGTCCCCGCCTCCTGTCTCTCATTGACTGGGTGAGACGCTTCTGGGCGGGCCGAGCGCGTTTCCTGCTGGACCTGGGCCCCGCCCTCTCCGGGAGCCCCGCCCCCAGGTTCCAGACCGCGGCTCCAGCCAAGCGTGCTGCTACCGGGAGGGTGTTTGACACTTTCTAAGGGGCTCTGTCTGGACTTCAGGGACTCAGACTCGAGGCTAGGATTGAACTGACCAGAAAGTGGCTCGGCACCCGTGCTCAGTGGTTAGGGCGCTAGCCACATACACCGAAGGTGGAGGGTTCGAGCCACCCGGGCCTGCTAAACAGCAATGACAACTGCAACAAAAAAATAGCCGGGCATTGTGGTGGGCACCTGTAGTCCCAGCTACTTGGGAGGCTGAGGCGAGAAAATCGCTTAAGCCCAAGAGCTTGAGGTTTCTGTGAGCTGTGACACCACGGCACTCTATGGAGGGTGACATAGTAAGACTCTGTCTCAAGAAAAAAAAAGAGAGAAAAGAACTTGAATTGGCCAGAAAGTGGGGTGGGAGGGCCAGAAGTTAGGCCCCTCCAGAGCTGCAGGATCTCAGGCTCACCCAACCTCTTAATTTTCCAGATGGAGTCTGAGGCTCAGTGGCTAAAGAGGTTACTTAGAAATGCACACCAGATCCTTGAACACAGCGAGACCAGAACCAGGCCTTGAGCTTGCACAGCTCCGCCGACCACAGGTATCTTAGGTGCAGTGTTCCCGTGGGGGGGGCAGCTGTCCATCCCCCAAATCCCCCGGGAGAGCCAGTTGCTTCTTCTCTGGCTCTCACCGCCGTCTTGTCTGTTGAAGCATGTACTGAGTTGTTATTAAAATAATTTATGGGCATGTCTCCTGAAGGACTTGTTCATCATCTTCTCCTCAGCACTTGGCCCAGAGCCTGGCCCAGAGCAGGCTTTTAGTAAGAGTTGGGTGAATGAACAAATGAATGAACGAATTGCAACTCATTCACCTGAGCTTCTGTTTCTTCATCTATATAAGAGAACAACAGTGGCCTTGGCCCCTTGCAAGGATTAAATGAGGGGATATGTGTACAGTGTCTAGTGCAGTGCCTGGCACATAGTAGATGCCCACAAGTGTTCTTAAAAGAATGAAAGGTTTGGGTGGTGCCTGTGGCTCAATGAGTAGGGTGTCAGTCCCGTATACCAAGGGTGGTGAGTTCAAACCCAGCCCTGGCCAAACTGCAACAACAAAAAATTTAAAAAAAAAAGTTAGTTTAAAAAAAAAAAGAATGAAAAGTTTGGGCAGTGCCTGTGGCTCAGTGAGTAGGGCACCAGCCCCATATATGGAGGGTGGTGGGTTTAAACCGGGCCCCGGCCAAACTGCAACAATAACAAAATAGCTGGGTGGGCTATTGTAGCGGGCACTTGTAGTCCCAGCTACTCCGGAGGCTGAGGCAAGAGAGTCACCTAAGCCCAAGAGCTGGAGGTTACTGTGAGCTGTCACACCACTGCACTGTACTGAGGGTGACAAAGTGAGACTCTGTCTTAAAAAAAAAAAAAAAAAAGAAAGGTTGGATTTCCTCTGTCCCTAAGGACCTTCCTACTGGGGAATATCACATCCTTAGATAACAACAATAATCGGCATTTTTTTTTAAGTGTTTTACATTCTACAAGCATCTCCTTGGGGGTGGGACATGGATTATCAGCCCCATTCTGCAGATACAGAGAAGGCACAAAAAGAAAAAGTGACTGCGCTGGTGTCACAGGCAGTCAGAGTTAGCATGTGAATGTCATGTGTTTTCCAAGTCTGAGCAACTGGAGCTGGTGCCAGTGGCCAGGATACAGCCTCCTGAGCCTTGCTCTCCACCTATATGATACTCTCTCCCTCCCTTCCCCCAGAATTGCCCTTGGTACTTCCTGGAACTTGGGTTTATCCAGTTGTTGTAGAGGGAAGAACCCTATGGTGATGGTCCAGAGGCCCAAGTTCTAATTACCCCTCTACCACCTGCAGGTATGTGACCTCCACCACCAGTGGGTTGTGACTATTAGGTATTGGGCATGACAGGGGCAGCTCAGCTTTCTGCTCAGTGAAAGAGACGTGGTGACCCTGCCCAGTCACCCTGAGAGCTTGTGGGAAGTCACAAATGACCACAGGTATGGTAACATTTCTGCAAAGTGTAATAGCTACGCAATGGAGTCGATTTCTCTGAGTCGCTAAGACTTTGCACAGAAATTCCTAAACCTCAGACTCAGTACCTCAGACTCAACTGGAGACAGGGGACAGAAACAGGTGGGTGGGGGCTTTGAAAAAGAATCTCCAGTTCCACATTAACCTCCTGACCCAGACTTTCCAAGGGTATTTTTGAATCATAAGAATCTGTATTAAAAAAAAATCCTCTGCCATTTTGACATATTTGGTCTAAGGACATCAACATTTGGGAGCCATTGTACCACCAGATGATTTTCCTTTTAAAAAATGCATGTGTGTGACTAATGCTTAAAAATTTCTTTAATTTAGCCAACAAATATTTATTGAGCACCTACTCCAGGTCAGGAGTTTATCTACCAGTGGTTTTTATACTTTCAAGGTCATGTACTTCTCGGAGAATCTAAAGAAAGCTACAGAATTGTGCTCACCAACTATAGCCTATAAATCCAGTGGGTTGACAGATCTGGGGGTGGGAGTGTCATGGACTCCTCAGGGGTTCAATAGAGTCTGGGGTAAAAATGCCTGTTAGATATGTGTAAACAACAAACTAAGTAAAATGGCTCGGCGCCTGTGGCTCAAGCAGCTAGGGCGCCAGCCACATACACCTAAGGTGGCAGGTTCAAATCCCCAGCCCGGGCCGCCGAACAACAATGGTGGCTGCAACCAAGAAATGGCCGGGCGTTGTGGCGGGTGCCTGTGGTCCCAGCTACTTGGGAGGCT